CCCTGTCTCGGTCTGCGCATCCTCGCTCCAGCCCCGCAGCCTCCCTCTTCCTCTTGGAACCCCCTCCTCCCCCCACCGGACTCTCCTTCCTAGCAGCTTCCCTTCTCCTGTCCTTCTTTCCATTCTCCCCATCTCCCCGACTTCCCTCCACTCCGGCAGATTTGGCCCTTCTACCCCCTTGCTACTCGGGAGTGTGGTCCGCGGACCGGCAGCATCAGCATCACCTGGAAGCTTGTTAGCCTCACTAAGGCCCCATTCCAGACCCATGAAGCTGGATGTTCATTTCACCAAAATTCCCAGGACATCCCAATGCACGTTCAATTTATGAAACACTCTTCCAGAGAGTTTACCCTGGACACACCTAGTCAGTGCTGCCTCCTCAATCTTGTGCCGGCGCTTTTTGGCTTACATAAAGCACTTGCTAGACCTGTTATTTCTTGGATCATCACAGAAGGAACTTGAAATTCCAACACCCCCACTATAGAGCTAGGTAAACTGAGGTGTTTAGAGACAGAGAAAAAACTGGAACCCAGATCTCCAGACTGGATTCACCTGCTTCCTCTCCAGGCTCTTGCAGTGTGTAAACAACAGAGGCTGGTGACAGTAGGTAACCTGTCTCTCTTCAAAACTACGCTTCTGGTTTACTCTATTTCCCTGCAGCAAGCACGCACGGGCCTTGGAAGGCCCATGTCTGAGGGCCATGCTGAATTGTTGATTTTTCTCAAATCCATTCCTGCTGCTTGCAATTCAGTTTTGGCTATTTACTCAGCCATCCATTGATTCACACCAAGCATTTGCTTTATGCCAGGTCCCAGGGTTTTCTTCTGATGATGGTTGTTGGGGTGATATATTCGAATTGCTAAGCTGTTTGCCATTAGAGACGCGGACACAATTCCTTTCATGCTGGTGTTGCAGAGCCAGCATTTTAACCTGCTTTTCCTATTATTTTATTTTATTGCATAAACAAAATAATTATGGAGGCAGAAAAGCATAGAGGTAGCAAATGCAGACCTAGAAGTCAGACTGCCTGATCTCTTATGATTAGTCATCGACGTGATGCAATGAAGATTAGGCAAGATCTTAGAGGTAAGGATCAATAGAGTTCAGTGCTATAAGCGGCATGCACACTTGTACACAATATTATGAAATGTTAATATTGAAAAGGAAACTAGTGATCTTAACCCTTTATGGCCTGGTTGACTGAGAGATAAGGGTAGTGCTGTTGAAATAGGGGACACATGATGGGTGACTTAGAGGTCAGGTATTTTCTATTAAGTATCAGCTAACAGTGGGCTGTCCAACTGGAGTTTAAACATGTTAATCCTGATGGCTGAATTGAGGTGTAATTCATGAAAACCTTGGGCTTCACTAGGTCCCCCAACATAGTAGTTGTCACAAAAAATAGTTCAGATTTATTTGAAAAAGGTAAGATGAACTATGATTACTTGAAAAAATCAAGAGACTTCTTCCCAAAAAGCATAGCTTGGCAATGCATAACATTCTAAAAAAGCTAATCCAACAGATTGAAAATCTGTTGAAGTGTAGTCCTTCAAAAAAAAAAAAAAATTGAAATTTCTTTCTGTTCTTCTCTCTCTGTTCACCAGGGAAGGTACGGTCAATTTAAAATGGACCAAGGTTTAGCCAAAAAAAGAAAGCATTAGACTTTGATTTCAGTGTAGATTCTCTGGTTTGGGAATACAAGCTTTTACCTTTTACTTTTCTTTTTATTCCCTTCATTTCGGTTACTGAAATTAATAATGGTGCACAAATAGAAGGCAAATGAAAACCAGGCCATTCTTCTCCTCATAAATTAATCTGATATAAAAACACGTGGGCAGCCGGGCATGGTGGTTGATGCCTGTAATCCCAGCACTTTGGGAGACCAAGGCGGGCGGATCACAAGGTCAGAAGATTGAGACCATCCTGGCTAACTTGGCGAAACCTCGTCTCTACTAAAAATACAAAAAATTAGCCGGGCATGGTGGCGGGCGCCTGTAGTCCCAGCTACACGGGAGGCTGAGGCAGGAGAATGACGTGAACCCGGAAGGTGGAGATTGCAGTAAGCTGAGACCCCCCCAAAAACAAAAACAAAACAAAACAAAAAACCCGTGGGCTTTCTATATTGCTTTCATGGGGGAATTTTGGGGACGGTTTGCAACTACAGCCTAAAATGAAGTTTGCAGGTAATCTGTAGATTTCAGTTCTCTCTCTACTCATGTAGACTCACAGGGGGCCACAGATAGGCTTCAGGGGTGATATGAGGACCTTATGAAAGTGCTGGAATAATGCTGTGAT